TGTGTGTGTGTGTGTGTGTGTGTGTGTAGTGTGTGTGTGTGTGTGTGTGTAGTATACTATATATATATATATATATAGCTTATGGTCTCATAAGCAGTGTTGCTATCGTATTTGAACTCAGAAGTCTGAAGGCAAAGTTCATATCTGATCAAAATTCGGCAAGAACAAGACCTAGATAACTTAAGTTACTACTCACACCCGGGAACACACACCAACAACAAGAAACGTAGTATGTTATTTCCTCTGATAATAATTGACAACATTAAGTATAGTGAGCACATCTATTTGGTATACGATTTTAAGGCTTCCAGGAATACGACCATTGTCTCATATTAGTATACCTATACGTAGAACAGAAACGATACAAGCACATGCTACCCCATACGTGTTGTAATATGTATGTATAATGTGTATATGCAGTATATGCAAATATATGTATATATATGTATGTGTATTGTGAGTTGATTAATTTTGTACAGGTTTGGGGATGTGGTATGTATGCACATGCGCTAGATTTACCAACGTCAGCATAGTACATAGTCATAGTGTCTACATGCAGCACTATGCTGGTAAACAGGTGAAATGAAACTTGGCGAAATTGCATACACACACATAGCAACATTCACACTCACATGCAACTATGCATGTGCTTACATACACGTATGCAACGCCAGGGGGTCAATACTGCCTTGAAAGAAACCATTCGGAATCATACACATGTTTATACACGCGCATGCAACGACATATACAACCTTAAGGGGAAGAATTCGGATGTAAGCAAATCTATACTACACTACAAAATATATATAAACGCATGCAACGACAGGCATGCACAACTGCTTTGAAATACTCAAGTAAATATAACTTACACATGCTCTCACATGGACATGTTCTTACACACGCATGCACCATCGCTGTGCCAATACTACCTTGAAGGGAACAATGCGGATGTCAGGCATATCAACATCTCCCATTGACGACACCAGTTTATTAAAGCGCTGGAAATTGCTCACTCGCAACGCCTCTTTCGACAAGGCTTCTGCCTCACTGCGGGACCAAACAGTAAAAAGAGGCATGGTTACTTATAGGAATTATTCTATAAATGGGATAAAAAATAGGAGAAGTATTGGAATCGTTACCTAAACGAAGTGTTCTAAAAAATAAAGCAATAATTTGTGTTGGTATTGGAACCGTTACTCATATGAAGTATACTAAAACCAGAACAGCCACTTGTAGTAATTACACCAAAATTCGAACAAGAAATTATTGTAAAAATTAATACAGTTACTAATACCGATTATTTCAGGTATTAATCATACTAATATTAATACAAAAATTGGCACAAGAAAATCTATGCTGACTATCGTATCCGTTTTACCGATAACTCAGAACTATTTCGGAGCTGAAATTGTGGCTAAAAAACTAAAAATGGACTGAGTGATCTTTGAATATTCCCAGATAAATACATACTATGATACATTCATTATACTATACATATATCACACATGCATACATACACGAACGATAGCATATGTTCGGCGCTGTGCATCGTGTGCATGCACGCCCGTGTCTAGTCTCCTACTATTTAGTACTGTCAGCTCCTGCGTCGATCTTCACCTATATTGGTTTTATTCGCCGCTCTGCGACCATCCAATATGCGGCGCTTATTGCAAATACCGTACAACATGTGATGCTTTCAAAATAGCGACAACTGTGTGCTACTGCTACCTAGACTTGGCATCGTCACCTACCTACCACACTGTATGGTACCTGCGAACCACACACGAAAAACTACCAGTCGTATTGGGTAATAGTTACCCAGCTACCACTCATTGCATATCTACCACTGTATGTAACACCGACCTATCTACCACCCACTGAACTACAGTTATACATCACCTCCGTACTTACCTACTCCCACGTACTGTTATCGACCTATATATCTACCATCTACTGTGCAACCTTCACAAATTTTCTAGGTACTTACATACCTACCTACCTAACTATCCGTCTATTGGTATAAAATTTACTCGTAAATTCTTTCCTACCAACTCACCACCTGATGTACCACTATCGTATATTGCCTACCTACCTATCACCTGCAGTACTAGCATCTTGCATTGCTTGTCTCATCCTACCTACTACTTACTATAATACCTACCCGTCGATTTTTACCAACCAGCCTACCTCATGCTGTATCACCTTCGTGATCTGCCTACCTACCTACCTACTTATCTACTACTGAAATACCTACCCTCCATGAGTTTTAGCTTAACTATTTAAGGTGCTATTGAAGGACAGTCTTCATGGTGATGGATCAACTTTTACATACCTATTGAGATCGCGGCCGCGGTCTACGGGCAGCAGGCAGAAGCGTGTGCGCCAGAAGTTGATGTGCCGCATGGTACTCATGTGATCCTTCTCTACATACCCCAAGATCATATGATCCATGATGTTCCAATTGGACTCGCCTATAGGCATAGGGATATCGGGGTGAAACAGAAATGGGTTTTTGTGTATAGATATGAAAACAATCATATATGGATATATCAAAGGCCACACATACCAGTTCTCCTCCATTAAATCAAGGGTCATGTGATCTAGAATGTCTCGATTGTATCTCTATACACACGGGATCAAATGTAGTAGATTATGTGTACGGACGCGCAAGTGATATGCACTATATATAT